GGACACAGGAGCCCATCGGAGGGTAGCCTGGGACACAGGAGCCCATCAGAAGCACGTATTGATGTGAACTGCCTTGTAGGCATAGATACATGAGATCTCAAAAAATAGAAACTTTAGGAAGTTATAGTTGCAAAGACTCCAACACCCCCCCCCCCCCGCAAACAGCATGTCTCGTGGTTGTGAGGATCAAATGAGCTGAGCCCGTGCCAGTGGTTGGCTAAACACCCTCACACAATAAGCACCCACTCTTTGTTTGCTATTATGATTCTTTGTGTCCATTATTTTAAAGATTAATTTATTTATTATGTGTATAGTGCTCTGCCTGCATGTATGCCTAAGGCAAGAAGAGGGCACCAGATCTCATTAAAGATGGTTGTGAGCCACCATGTGGTTGCTGGGAATTGAACTCAGGACCTCTGGAAGAGCAGCTGGTGCTCTTAACCCCTGAGGCATCTCTCCAGCCCTTATTTGTGTTCTTACAGGAGAAAACGTTTGCTAAACATTTTAGGCAAATAAAATTACTCTTACATAAGACAGCAAGCTGTTTTCAAATACGTCGGCAGATCTGTTTGTAATAAGACATTTTAATATGAGAATTGCAAGTAAAATTTGGTCCTTAAGGTATAGTGGATAAAGTCTTGACTCGACAATTCATGAACACTTAATTTGTTTCATTGTAGGGTCTTAAAAAACATAAACCACATTTATGAAATAACTCAGTGTTTCAAAATTTTTATAAATTCAAACTGTTTACCTTCATAGCTCATGTAAATGGCATTGAACATCAAAACTCAGAAATTACCAATAAGTTGCCAGCTTTCTGTAGCTCACAGTGTTTCATCCTTACACTGTGAGCACTCACACATTGACAGCTTTCTTGTCAAGAGATGGATGTAGCAAACTGTGTCTCAAAGAGAGTTTGATTTCACTTGACATCATGGGCCCAAGACAGAAGATCAATACTTCTTTGACTTCTAAGCCACTGGACTCTAGAGATGCCATGAGTGTATGTTCGGGGGTAGCAGGTAATGTAGCAGCGAGGAGGGTTGCCTGGAGTGCCAAGTCTAGGCCCCAGGCTTCTCCAGAAGGTATCCACACTGGGTAAGAACCCTGGCTCAGCCTCTGGCATCTGTTGCCTCAGGTAAATCCAGCAATGTACCTGGGATTCCTACCTGACACTGTCAGAAAACTGCTAGATCCTGCCCAGCATCGTGTTCAGCACATGCAGGGAGCAGCACTGTTGGTTTCTCATCATCTCTCTAATGGTATGTCTGCTGCAACCTGAGGGAGTATCAGGACAGAGCTGGCGATGCAGGTTGTTAGTAGGATGCTTGCCTTCAAAGGTCCTGATTCCACCACTAGAACTGGCACACACACACACACACACAGAGACACACACACAGACACACACTCACACAAACGCACACACACAGACACACACACAGACACACACACAGACACACACACAGACACACACACACACAAACGCACACACACACACACACATACACACACACACATACACACACATACACATACACACACAGACACACACACACACAGACACACACACAGAGACACACACACAGACACACACACACACACACACACACACAGTTCAGTGGAGAGTTCTGGAGTCTGGAGAATACAGCGCACATGTTGCCCTGAGATGGCACCAGGGCTCAGTTTCATAAATTGCAGAAAGGTAGGTTTTTTTTCTATCCTCAGTGAAAGCCATTTGTCCACTTAAGTTTTGAAGTAGGCAAACTACACTTACCTGTGAATAGGAGAGTAGGTAATGGGTCCTTGAGTCCTCTGCCCTGCAGGTCAGCTGAGGAAAAGGCCAGAACCTCCCCAGGCCCATGTGCTGGCATGATGCCCATGCCCGAGACATTGGGTTGCCACAAATGCTCCCCTGGAGGATTATGTACAGAAGCATGGACCTCTGTTTCCACAGAACAAAGAAAATTCTATTGAGTTTTAGATGTAAAACAGACCCGTTGACCTGGAGTTTATTTGGAAGCTAAAAACAAAAATATGGAAAATTTATATTCTGTGCTCCTGTTATCCAAGTCACTTAATAAAATTTACACTTTCCCCTCAGTAGCTTAAAATACCCACTGGCCTAGAAAAGTTGCTAAAAAAGAACATCTATTTATGCCTAATGTTTTTAACAACTAATTGGTGCGTGTGGCTCGATTCAGTTTTTCAGACCGGCTTATTCCAATTTTCTCTGCTTCTCACAGTTGTTGGTGTGAAAGGCAGGGTTGTAGGGTGGCAGCCAGGCACAGAGACTTGCTCTTTCTAGCTGGGGTAGTTCATGTGTGTTGTGCTCTAAATGTTGGTATCTCCCCTCCACAGACTGACTTGAAATCCTCATTCCTGAGGAGATGGATGGTGTTGGGAGGTGAGGCTTTAACACGTGATCAAGACACAAGGGTAGGTCTCATGGGTAGGATTGGTGGCCTAGAAGCGACCCAGAGAGATGGGTCACTTCTCAGCCATGCGGGAACATGTTTAGTGTCCTATCTGTGTTCTAGAAAGGGACCGTCACCTAATACTAGTCCTGGTGGCACCTCGTGACCGCCAGCTCCCACAACTGTGAGATGTAAGTGTATTTATAAAGGGCTATCCGGTACTCCAGACCACACCCAAACACCCTGCAGAAGTCTTCAAAGGTCAAGGACCTGTCACATCAGAGGAGACTGGCCTGGCCAAAAGCGTTTTTAATCTTGGCATTATCTAGAAGTGAGGACTTACATTTCTTTATTTCTGGAGCAGTCTTCAGCTTCCAGGTGCAGAGATGCCATGGGTACATTCAGCTCTGCCCTCGGAAGTGTGTAGGCAGGGATCACCATGGCAGCAGGTGAGGCCAGAACTTGGCATATTTTGGCTTTTAGCTGTTTTGATGTGATTTCTTCCTATTTTAAAAGGCATGACTATATGCATGTGCTTACAGACACACACGCATGCACATACACAAGTGTTTTCAAACAAATAGAAAGATAGAACTCGAGACGCAGTTAAATATTCAAGTTTCATTTGAAGAGAAAATGGCCACAGAGTTCTCTAGTGATGTAGCCTGGGGTTCTCGGACCGGCTAAGCCACACAGCCTTCCAGCCACCGCCTATGCATGGGCTATTCTAGGCTTCAGTGGTCCTTGCTCAGGCGCAGAACTGCAGCAGGTCAGATTCTGGCTTTGTCATTGTTCACCACAGACTCACATGCTTTATTTAACCCTTCATCTTCCATGGAGTGCATGTGTAAGGCTGTCTCCCGGATGCGGAGGTGTACACAAATCTGTATGGACACAGACAAGAACCTGAGTGCATATATATGAACACATGCACAAACTCGTGGGACAGTTGCAATGCACAAAATGGTAATTTAAAAATGCTGCCAGGTGTTAGGACTTCAGATTTCTCATCGTCTGGGTTTTGTTTCCTTTGAATCAGGATCTCAATGTTGCTTGTATACACTCATGGACTACCTGTTTAGCTGTGGTCTCATAGGCTGTAGTGGGGCTGGAAATTCCCCACCCTGTATTTTAAACTGACCAGTACTGCTGTAGGATTGCAGCTGCCGCAGTGATGGGCTTCTTGACCTGGGTCTTCCCCTTCCCACTCATTAACTGGGGAGTTTTCTTCAGAGA